AATATAACCAACAACATGTTATATTGAAGTAGACTTAATGAACTCAGTAAGATGTCAGAACTCAACATTTGAGCCCAAATAGCTTGGTTTAACACATCGTAAAAACAATTTCCTCTATATAAATCATTGAATGCAGAATCGAACGGGCTACAAGATGAACTAATTATATTATAGGCAATCGCTTTGTGACGTAGCTGTTTAATCAAAATACTGGAAAAAAAGAAAACTTTTTAGGCTGAAAAAATACTGTGTTTCGAGTTTTTCGATTCTATACTCAGATGAAGAAGAAACGTTACATGTGTAGTTTTGTAGAGCAACTTCAGATCTATCAAGTGGTATATGATTCAACTAGAACGATGAAACCCTGTAAAGAAATAAAAAGAGAGAAATTTGATATAATGCTATACAAAAAAATCACTAAAACATGGTGTCAGCGATCGATATTCAAGTCTGATTATCTCAGCTTTCGAACATTTTGAAACAATGCAAAATAAATAATTCGATGCAGAAGTGAATGAGCTTCAAGATGAAATGGCAATTGGTTTTTGATTAGGACATATAGGTAAAATACTCAAAAATAGAGGAAATTTTATATGCTAAAACTATTGTGTTTTGACATTTTCGGCTCAAAAACGTATAGGTCAATTTTTCACCCTTTTTGCACTATTTTTGAGGGTGTCTGTGGTCGAACAATCCTAGCGAACTAGAGGTAAATCTTTAGACCGTAATATTTTGGATTCATCTATGATAGATAATGCCTGAAATACCTAAGAGATTAAATCCAAAATCGCTCGATCTCCATATTTTCGCTATCTCTGATATTTTTCATGGGACATTTCTCTTAAATATATAAAATAAACATCCATAGAGAATTTCGAGTTGCCAAATAATCTATTTTTGACCCATGTTTAACAAATATCTCTCGAAAATTTTACAATATAGAGCTGCAAGTATTATCATAACCTCTTCACAACCGTCTCAATATATCCTAAGTTTCCATGAGATTTGAATGTACTTGAACTAATTCAATTAAGTTTTGATTTCATACTAACAAATGCCGATGTGTAGTTGTTTTTGTATAATAATAATTCTTATAATGAGTTAAATAATATTTCATATCCTGTACTTTCTAAACAAGTTTAAGCATCATTTCTTATAATTTTATTATCCACAGCATTAGTTAAACAAGATAAATAATAATTTATGAAAGACACGCGCAAGAAAAAATTAAAAAAAAAAAAGAATCTGACAAGATAATAATAATTTGTTCATTATGATAAGAAGACAAGATTATTTATTCTTTCCATTTCATTGACGTGGTGCTCGAGGTGGTATAGGTGGTGGTTTTGATTCTTGTATATTGATTGTTGGTTGAATATCATCATTTGTTCCACAAAGAGTATTATCAAAAGCAAAACTATCACTTGATGTTAATACATTATTATCTAAACTTAAATGTCGACCTAAATAGAATTCAATGTTCCTTTTATAGTATAATTCACAAAAGCAAAAAAAAAACAACACATACGAGTTGATATATCAGTATTTGATTTTTGTTGATGATGATGTTCATCACATTGACTTGATGTTCGAGAATGTGAAGTAAATGATGATGATGGAATCATAAAAAGACGAGAAACACGTGAATAAGAACGCCATGTATGTGGTGATCGACGTATTGGCTATTAAAAAAAATTATATCAGAATTAAAATATTTTTATCAACTTACAAATACTCGTGGTGATGAATCAGCTGGTTCAATATATTCTTTACGTGTAACAAGATAATTTTGAAATGTATTTTCATCTTGAAAACTTTTCATTGGATTAAGTCTTTTTAATTCTTTTTGTATATCATAATTAGGTACAATATCATATGGCATATTTTGATATTGTTGAATTTCACATAGATGTTCACCAATTTGTTGAAATTTTCGAAAATTAATTAATATTTCACCAGTTGATAAAACAATCATATTATGTTTTTCTTTCATTTGTGCAATACGTGTTTGATTATTAGCTTAAATAAATAAAAAAAAAAAAAATTCGAATAAATCAAAAATAATATTTTTCTTACCAATAAATGGTACAACTGGTAAAGGACTTTGACGTAATTTTTCAAAATATAATTTAAAATGTGAATCTTCACCAAGCATATCATCAACTAATGTAACAAAAGCTCGACTTTGTTTACTAAGACGCTAAAAGAATAAATAAATATTATATTTTGTATATGAAAAACAAAATATTTACTTACATCCCATGTATGTGGTAAAGATTTTTCTAAATCAATTATTCCACCAAATATAATAGCAAAAACAGCTGCAAAATTCTTTTTTTCATATGCTCGTATAGCTATTTGAATAAAACGTTCAGTAACAGCAATACGTTCTTCAAAATTTGATGTTTCTAATATTGATCGTTTACACCAAAAACCAAGCTAAAATTAATTAGATTATTTTTTTTGTTTTTTGATTTTTCTCAATTTAAAAATAAATAATAAAATTAATTTCTTTATAAAATACAAACCACTTTATCAAGAAATTTCATATAATTTTGTAAATTATATAAATTTGGTAAACGATAAAGTAATTCTTGAGATGTTATAGCACGAAAATAAGTTGAACATATTAAAGTTATTTGATCAGATAATTCTTTCAGATCATACTATACAAAAAAAAAATAATAATAAAATAAATTTCCTTTTAGGAAAGCGTTCACAAAATAATATTTCTCTCTTTTCACTTCAGACTATTATCATTTGATTAAAAAAGAATTTAATTTTCCGAGTTTTTGCTTAATGAATTATCAGCCATAGTGTCTCTGAGAATTTTCATGATCGAATTTCGACTATAGATAGACTTTATAATAATTAGCACTACTTCAAAGTTTGATCCTAATCTGGAGACCAAGGCATGTCCCTGCATATATCCATATAGAGACATTAGCTTGTCATAGAAACGCTGTACTTTTTCAATGCTGCTAAAAACAAGGTTTTTTTTTTATTTTAATTATCTTACGAGGGAAGGTCCCCAGGTGCCACGCTCCGTTTTGAATCGGACATATGCCATTTT